TCAGCAATAGGAGCTTTCTGATATCCTTGCTTTCTAGCGGCTCTGTGCATCTATTTAACTGGCTCCGCGTCAGATTGGATTGGCATGGCTGAGACCCCAATACGCTTAAAATAGATTCTTTCCGCGTAATTGGGATAACAGTTGCGTGGTGCTGATCGGACGACTTTGTCGAAGGCTATGCTACGCTCCATGACCAGAGCGGCTCAATTTCGACGAAGGCGTCCCCATATCACTTTTCTACTCAGACCACCTCTCTTGATATTGTATCCGATATATCTGTCTTTCTTGTGGAAGGGGGGAAGAGCGCTGAGGGGGAGGAGGATGGTAAAGTTGAGGATGAGGACAAGGACAAGGATGAGGTGGTTGTAGAGAGGCAGAGGGAATCGGATCTTGCGAGTTGAGATCAACAGTAGAGATAACAGTAGTTGTAACGGTGCTTGATGACTATAGGGCACTTTGACTTCTCATCGATTTCTACAGAGAAAAAGACTGTACAACTTTGTCGAACCTCTTCACTGATTCAGTGTACATGTTGTGACATTTCAAAACCCACTCCCTCAACGAAAGTAAGTTGGCGCCGTAGCCTTTGCCGTCAACCAGGCCTTGTCCAACGCCTTGACAACCTCTTCAGGCAACGGCCCCTTTTCCAAATCCGCCAGATTGCTCTCCAACTGCGCAAAGCTGCTGACACCAATGATGACGCCATCATTCCCACCTTTGACTCTGGTCCGCAATGCGGAGTGGTGCACGGCCCAGCGCAAGGCGATCTCCAACAGTGTCAGGTTGTGCGCTTCAGCTGCTTCCTCGACAATTTTGAGTGCGTTGAAAGTGGCTTCTTTGAAGTAGCGATCGCGGTACATTTGGCCTGTTTTCTCGGCCTTTGTGCCAAAGCGACCTTCGGTGGGTTGGATGGCTGCAGACTTGATTTTACCGGAGAAGAGGCCGCCAGCGAGCGGGTTGTAGACTACAATGTCCAGACCGTATTTGCGGCATGCGGGGATGAGTTCAGGCTCGATGGCACGGGCTGGGTTGGTAATAGGCTTGTGAGTAGGGTGTCAAGCGAGAGGTATGGGTACAGGGGAAAGGGGCCAACCTACTGATGGCGTTGTACATGGCTTGATAGATGGTCGGCTTGACCCAACCACGCTCCTTGCAAATGTTGTAGATTTCGGCAACCTCCCAGGCCGCATAATTGGACAGGCCCAGGTTGACAAACTTGCCGGCCTTGTGCAGCTCGTTGACAGCCTCGAGCGTCTCTTCAAAGGGCACGGAATGGTCGGGTGCGTGCAGATAGAAGATGTCGACACAATCGGCACCCAACTCGTTCAAGCTGGTGGTGAAGTGTTCCCTCAGCCTGTCTGGCTTGTGCACACCCGGCTCGTAGGGATAGACCTTGGTGGCCAGGGCGAGGCCACGATCTTGCCATTTTGCTTGACGTGTCCAGGCTTCTTGCTTACCCGCCACATACATGCGGGCCGTGTCGATCTCATTGTAGCCCTGGGATTGGAAGTAATCGAGGTGGATTGTGAATTCGTTGAAGTCAGTTATTCGTTAAGTTACCGATTAGCTACTCACCACACTAAAAAGCCCACTAAC